GCAAGGTAGCAGGAATTTTCTTGACACTTTGGGAGTTATATCCTCCTGCTATGGAATCGTTTCCTAGAGCTATTCAATGTATTTGTACTTTGTGTCCTCAAAATTTCAAGGTTTGTGATTTCTCTGATTACATTAGGTGATTATTCTAATGGCTTTTAATATTGTGATGGCAAGTAGATGAGTTTTCTTTGCAAGTTTTCCTTAGCATATTTATAATTTTCATAATCCATGAAGTACATGAAAGAATATACAACAATACTTGTGCACTCATTTCATACACATTTCAGGATACAAATAAACATTCCATCCTTGGATTTTTTTGCCTGTTCAGTTTCGAAGTTTTGACTTGTGTTTGAACAGGGAGTGAAGCTCAGACATGGGGAAACAATTGCTTAACACAGCTGCTAAGTGGCTGAACTGCTTTCATTGGTAATGCAGATTTGTATCTCACATTCAAAAATGGATAACATCTTTCAGCTGTAAATTTGGTAGTATCTGTAAATATTAATGACTCAACTTCAAACATAATGTTGAAGTTGGCAAATATTAACAAGGGAAATTGGACCTGGTGAGACCTGACTCTAACAAGTCACTCATTAAATCAGTGCAGAGCCTAAAATATTCTCTGGTTTAATTGTTTGATTGTAGATCCCATTGTATCTCATCTAGATATAGTGAGAGATGGTATTTAAGTATTCTGATTGAATAATTGATCTTCGTGGATAGTCCTTGATTAGCTAAATAATGAGTAGGAAAAGTGAGATTTTAAGACAAAACATTAGATTCTTTCTCAGTGTTGCAAGACAAGGGTAAACAACAGGAATATCTTCTCAGAGAATGTGAAACACTTGTCTACATGTGAAATTGAAGGAATCTTTTTTTCCTGTCAAACAGTTACCAATTTCACCGGCTGCTGGACTGGTGGAGTCACTCGTTGAGCTCAAGCTCCATGATGCACTTGTGTTCATCCCCTGCTGTCCCGAGAGGGTAAGCTGTTCCTCACAGAGCTGAGGGTTCTCAAAAGGGAGACTGCTGCTTACATGGAGGATGAAATACACTGGACATTTGCATGTTATGAATTTTAGAGTAGTTATTTTCACAACAAAAAAGCTGTAAAAGTTCTTTCATTTCATGGAAACACAAAATAGTTAACTTTGCTTATTTGTACCAAACACTGCAGAGCTGTTTGCTGCTTTACCATCCTGAAAGAGTTGTTTCCTTAGGCTCCAGTGCTTTGTTAGAGCTGTGCCATTGCATCACTGCTACACAGGAGCTGGGATTGTTGCTGGTAGCAGTGTGCTTTCCCAAGGAGACTGTGTTTGCTAGCGAAACCTTACAAATACTAACTTCACTTATTGAAGTTTACTTTCAGTCAAAGCTAGCGATGTTGTGCCGTCCAGTTAAGCTGTGTGCACTGTACTGTGAGAGTTCACATCCAGTGCTGTGTCATTGTGACAGTTCCTCAGTGCAGTGTTTCACCTTTCATGCATTGTGCAGTTGTCGCTGCTGTACAGGCCATGAAATACAGAGCTTACAAGAAGGTGAGCTTTTCTCAGGGAATTTAGGGCAGGAGGTAGTTGAGCCAAAACTGGACTTGCTCCGTTTGCTTTGAATTTAATCTAAAATAACTCAGAACTGTACATTGCAGAGAACAGTCCTATCACTGTTTTGGGCCAGAACTCGGAGTAGCAAGCGAAAATACCCAAGAAGCAAATCTCCACCACGGTACTGGATTTGTTACTGAAGCATGTTGGGGGGAGTGCATTAATAGGGACCTTCCCTTCGAGGTGATGGCATTGGGCTAGCCAAGTCTCTGGTTTGTAAGAAGCTCCTAAAGCTTCACAATAGCTAGAGACTTTATGGGGCAAGATGAGGAAAGGTAGTGTGTCCTTATTTTTTACTGAGTTATTATTTTTGCTATAGCTTCGTAACTGACATGGATGCCCAGTTATTTCTTATGGAGATACTGGGCTGCTCTTCAGTCTCTTATCACTGTAATTGAGTTAATGTTCTCTTTACTGTGACTTCTAGTCATTTTGTAAACACCTCATTGCATTGAAACAGTGTCTTTTAACCAAATCTTCCCTGTTAATTTGGCAGCAAAGCATTTTCATACTCTTACAATCAGTTGTGGTTACTGTGCAGTTTGTGCAATTTGATTTCCCCATTAAGGCTTGAAGCAAACCCTTGTTTTTGTGTAAATATTCTGTCTTCTCTTAAAGGAGGCTAAACCAACTTGTGTCACTAACCACATTTTCTGTGCTGTGCAATAGCAATACATAACTTTTAATTTGACTTCCTTACTCCCAGTATTGTTTTCCATTCAGCTGATCTATTACAGCTCGTGCATTCCGAATGATTTATAGTAGCAAGTACTTATCAGAACTGCTTTGTTTCATTAAATAATGCTGCAGATTTTGTATTGACTTTTTCTGATAGAGCTACAGGATGAAATTAAACCCGGAAAATAGCTTACTGTTTATGATGCTTTGCTTTTAACTTGTATTTGCACTTAATATTACTTGGTTCTAACTCTACAGAAGTTTTTCCTGATGCTGGTTTTGTATCTTTAGCAGCTAAAACAAGAGTTTGAAATGACAAATCACTACATAAGAGTGACAGAAAACTCTCCCTACGTGACCTCTCTGCACCCTTATAGCTTTCCCAACTTGCCTGACCCTCCTTCCAGAGGTGATCGATTCTCTTTCTTTCTCCCAAGCTCCACCCTGAGTTCTCTGCTTAACCAGGTTGCTCTTTTGCCTTGGTGACTCGACTTCCTACACACAGGAATAGCCTTGTGCTCCTGAATGTTCTGCAATTCCTTTTTAAAACAGTCCCAGCCTTTCTGAACTCTTTTACCCTTCGGGAGTGACTCCCAAAGGACTCCATCAGTCAATGTCCTAAACTGGTCACAGTCTGCCTGCTGAAAGTCCGAGGTGGAGGTTCTGGATCTGACCCTCATCACATCATCCACTTGATCATTTTGTGGTCGCTATGGCCAATACATCCACTGACCATCACATCCCCCACCAGTGCTTCTTTGTCCTCAAACAGCAGGCCCAGCAGGGCACCACCTGGATGCTCCATCTCTGGCATGTTGAATGCTTTGAGGTTTTGCATTCCCAGAACAGTATGAAATGGAAGAAATAACATGAAAGACATTGCAATACAAAGTTGGTAGTTAAGAGTAGCTCAGTCTCACACATCATTAGATACCCCACATCTGCGATGCAGGCTGACTGTTAATGACAGTGTTCTCCCTCTTGCTCAGCTGGTTTGGCATCTTTGGTTTGCATTTAACTGTACTATGGCTGAACTTATAAAAAGCACAATGACATCATCAGAGATGACAGATCGAACCTGTAAGACTTGGTGGCATTCAGCCCAATGCTGAAGTGATATTTTATGGAATTGCCAATCCCAGCTAAAGTCCATTCCTGATGGACCTCAAAGTTTGTCTATACTCAACCCTGCACACTGAGACACTGATTTTTTTTAACCATTTATAATTTTCTTCATTAAACAACATACTGATATCCCTCAGTTCATTGCTATCAGGCTCCTTAACCTGACATTGCACCTTGTTTTCCCAATCACTCGTGAATGTATCAAACTGTGAACTGCACCGTTGGTGCAGAGAGGCCCCTGATCATTCTTCCTGCTTCACCTGATTGCCTAGCCTTACACTGCATTTCTTCCCCTTTAACGTTCACGTGATGAACTTTCTTCCTCATGCAGCTTAGGTGTTGTGGAGCATTTGGGGACCTTGTTGAATGTCTTTTGAAAACCCATGTTGACTCGATCAAGTGCCTTAGAACGGGTTCTGTCTTGCCTCTGTGTTTGTTTACGTCTTCAGAAGAATGTCAATAAATTCACGAGGCACAGTTTCTCTTTCCAAACTCCTGTTAGTACCTTTTGCTTCAGCAGCATTCACCCCGTGTCTGCAGGTTCTCCCACCTCAGTGCTGTTTGTGCCCGTGGGCCTGGCACGTCTGTCCGTTCCGGGCTGTGGCTGCAGGATCCTCTCTGTGGCCCTTACAGACAGTGCAGTGTAGCATTTCATTTCCATTCCTTTGCCACAAGGTGATTATGAGGTTATACACTGCTGTTAATAGTGAAACTGTTGCATTCTTTAACTTCTTTAGAACTGTGGGAAGAAAAACTGTCTGTTCCTGATGATGTGTTATGTTAGTTTTGTGGATTTGTTTGATAGTCTGACCTACTGACACTGTTGTGTGACACAGACCATGAATAAAGGAGGTTTCTGATTTGTGAGTCTTCTTAGGCTCATATTTTCTGAAAAGCAGATTGAAAAGAAAGTGTTTTCCTTGCAAAGTACTATATAAATAATTATTACATACTCTCATCGTGATAAAAACGGCAAAGAAAGTAAATACAGATGAAAAAAGGAAGGTGTATTTGTCATTAACCACAGGCTGGTTGTTGGTAGTAAAGGAGACTCTTAGGTGTACCACAGAATGAGTTTTGAGCTATTTTGGTGTATGAAATGACACATGAATTGGAAAATCTTTCTCCTACAAAAAGCAGCATTTCTTCTGGCCATATCCGACCCAGGATTAACTGTATATTCTTTGTCATCCATTCCTGGACTTGGCATATGTTCTGTGCAAAGTTAAAAGCTTTTCCTTCTGTGACAAAAAGTGCTAACATTGTCTTTTGTCATTCCTGACTGCTCATGACAACACATTTAGCTTAATTGCAATCCAGTGTATTCTGATGTATCAGAGTGATAATCTCAGATTTTATTTTCTGTTCTTCACAGAACATAACTGAAGGATGATGCAGCGTCAGCACTGTCTGTGTACAGCCTTGTGAGAATCTTCTTGAAGGAGCAGCAGTGAGATAACCCTGGGAATAATTTCTCTCTGGTACAATGTGGTGAAGCAGAAGAATCAAAATTGTGCACCTTGTCTGGGCTGAGGACCTACAATGTTTGCCATTTAGTGAGCAGGAGTTCTGGAGTGAGCTGAACTGCTGAAAATGCGGCCATGGACTGGCTCCTGGCGTTGGATTATGCTCATTCTCTTTGCCTGGGGAACTTTGCTCTTTTACATTGGTGGGCACCTGGTACGAGACAGTGAGCACCCGGATCACTCCAGTCGGGAGCTGTCCAAGATCCTGGCGAAACTGGAGCGCCTAAAGCAGCAAAATGAGGACCTAAGGCGAATGGCAGAATCTCTCAGGTAGGATCTGGCAGGAATTAAAGCTGTTCAGGAAACGGTTGAAATAGGAAGTATCAGAAATTGAATTATAAGGATTGTTTGTGGCATTTTCGTAAAATCATTTATGACATTTAGAAGTACATGTAGGTGTTCTAATCTGTGCTATAAGTAGCTGAAAACGCATTGCAAAATCTTTGAACTAACAATGTGCACTTAGTTCTGATCTAACCCAAACATTATTTAACAGTCATTATTTAACTGTGCAAGAGTTACTGTCACAATATCAGAGTTGTGTAGATGATTCACCTCCCCATGCCAACTTCAAACAAATGCAATCGTTATGATGCCCATACAAATTAGAACAGTTAGTTCTTTACACTTCTGCATGCAGTAACTGGAAGAGCTTGTTTGGAAATGCTGAAAACGTTCTACACCTGTGGAAGGTAAGTGCTGACTTGCTGAAGATGAGCTGCAATAGGTTGCTGCATTATATGAATTCTATAAGTTTTCTTCCTTGCCTTGCTGCTAAACTTAGACTTCTGCTATTGTAGAAGAACTTGTATAGTAGTAGGATTTCCCTTTTTAAAATGGTTCGTTAGATTATGGATAGGTACAATTACAGTTTAAAGTGTTTCCTTTCACCTTGTCAGCCAGAGAGATTTTAACATAGACTTATGGTATCTCCTTCCTGACAACCCGAAAGGGAAAACTTCATAGGCAGGATGTACGTCCGTGTCAGATCGGACCGAAGTACGTGGACATCGCCACGTGCAACCTGAGGTCCTGATGGCTCATGGGTACAGGTCCAGAGACTTCTTATGTTGTAGGAAGTGAGAGAAGAGTAAACCTCAATCCAAGATTTTCTAGAGTGGGAGGGTGATGTTTATTTGTAAAATCTCTAAGTGAGCTGCCTTCACTTGCTGTCTGTTTCACAGCTGCTCACCAGCACCGGGCTGTGTGTGTGGCTGTGGTGTGGGCAGAGAGCAAGGGGCACTGCAAGTTGAGTCTTCCTCGTGTCTCTTGGTTGCTTCTTGCTTGGCAAGGACAAACTGATTTTGGACTTGGCTTTTGGTACCCTTTAGGAGTAGATGACATTTTGGATCTTCTACCTTTCTGTTTTGCTTCCTATTTACAGAGAATACAGAATGTTTTCCTTACTCAGGTGCTTTAGGGCTCTAGTGCTGCTCTTGCTAAGGAGGTCACACATGCAAACTCTGGCAGTAAAATGAACACCTTGCCTCTCAGCCCTGTTCTGCTGTTTCTCCTGGCGCAGTCCCTCTCGCGTAGCCGGGGCTGTTGGGCCCGGCAGGCTGGGTGTCCCTGCCTGACGGCGATGCCCTTTCTCTGCACCCTGTTCCTGGTTTTGGGAGCGCAGCGCGGATGTGGCTGCGTGCTGACCAGGCTGCTTAGCTTGGACACGTCCTCGTTTTGAACGTGTCAGCCCCGAGGAAGTCCCTCAGCATCCGCGTGCTGCTCCCCAGAGGTGCAGAAATGCTGCTGACCCAAGTGCTCTCTGCAGTGAAGCACAGAGGATCTCACCTGGGTTGATGTGGCTGTGAATGGCTGAGTGGCTCCAGCTTTCTGAGCTCACTTTGTTAGTGTGTGGCAGCAACGGCATTGGCAAAGAGCTGAATGTGTTGATGAAGTGGGTTCACGTGCAGTCTGCCAATACCAGCAAACTTCACAAGATCCTATATCCCAATCATTGCAGTATCTTTAACCTGAGCATCAGACAGTGATAGTCAGCCCTAGGGTTTCCTGCCCCGGAGGGGAAGTGCCTGAGTTGAGTGTGAAATTGTCACCCTTCATGCTTTAAGCTGCCACGTGTGCCTGACTCGGATCGATGGTAGTGTGCTCTCAGCACATGTGCCAGGAATCAGAAGCACCAGGGACTTCAGGTGTGAAGGGAGAAAGTCAGAACTGGGGTCCTGAGAAGGCACATCTGTCGATTAGGCTTTGCCAGTTCAACAAATGGTCTGAGTTGAGCTGCCATGAGTACCATTTTTGCCAGCAGAGCCTAGGATTGGTCTCATCAGTGAGGGGAAGTCTTGGAAAAAACATGGTTTAGTGTCAGGTTGGGTCTGTGTGCTGCAGCTCTGTTGTGATTCTCCTATGGCACCAAGGTTTTAAAATCTGCTGCTGTTAATATATTTGATTTTTTTCTAGTTGTAAGAAAATAGGACAAAGGTTTCTCAGTAAAACAGGATGGAATAAATACGGGTGGAGAGCTGGATTGTTTCTGCAAATAATGTGCCAAACAGTTCTATCTACAAATCACAGAGTTTCTTTGTGTTCCTCTGTCTTAGGATACCAGATGGTCCTGTGGAGCAGGGACCAGCAGCAGGAAAGGTACATGCTTTGGAGGAGCAGCTTCTCAAGGCCAAAGAGCAGATCGAGAACTATAAGAAGAGGACAGGAGATGGTAGGTAGATAAGTTTTCTTTTGCTTCTAAACCAAGTTTTGATGTTTTACATCACAGATGTGTTGGTTTCTTAATGAGTAATTCAGCTACAAGTGCTGATGCTTTGCCGCTTTTTTAAACATTTGATTTTATTTCTATTTATTTTTTAAATAGAAGGCCTTGGGAAAGACCATGAAATACTAAGGAGGAGGATTGAAAATGGGGCTAAGGAACTTTGGTTTTTCCTCCAGAGTGAACTGAAGAAGTTGAAAAATCTAGAAGGAAGTGAATTGCAAAGGCGAATTGATGAATTTCTGTCTGATTTGGGTCATCAGGAAAGGTACTTGGATTGCTTGATTCTGTGCTTTGATTAAGCTGTCATTTTGTTGTTCAAAGCAGTGTCAGAATTGTATCTTCAATCATTGTTGACCTTCTGCCCTCCCCATTGTTGAGTACCTTTGGTATTACATTAAAATATTCTGTATAAGTCCGTTCAAGCTGAACAAAATTAATTCAGGAACTGTTGGAAATGCAGTGAAATCTGATTTATACATATTATATTTATGGCTCTGCTCCCAACAGTATTGCAGTGACAATTTTTGTCTCTGCACTAAACACTTACAAGAGTATAGTTGAGTGAACTGGATGTGCCACCTTAAACAAGGATCAGTTTCCCAGGAAGAGTTGTGATCCGCAGGTGTGAACAGTAGTAACGAAGCATGAGCCTTTGGAAATAATTCTCTGGTAAAGGGAAAAGATGTAAAAATTTCCAATTTGTTAGAAATAATGTAAATATTATTTAAAACATAGTTTAAAGATAGCATGAGTTTGATTATCAATGTGGGCAAATAATGTAGTCCATTAAATTTTGTAATTTAATATTCCACAACTCCAAAATTGTGTTTGTCATTGATTGAGTTGAAAGTGAGAAGGAATTATTCAATTATTCAGAGTTATTATCTGTATAAAATGTGATTGCATTTCATCCAGTGATTTCTTTGCCCGGTGCCATTCTGTGTGTTTGACTGAAATAAGAGCAGTGCTTGGCTGAGGCACGGTTTTCCAAGGCACTCGAGATCTTCGGCTGAGCAGTAGCTTTGGCAGAGATCTGCCATTTCCCTGGGCAGTTGCTGTGGTTGTTATCTCCGCTCAGGAATGTGTGTTCTCTGGAGAGAAATAGCCCCACTTGGAATCCATTTCTTGGACTTCTGATCATTGATTTTTATGCACCTTTCAGACTCTCCGTGCCAAAAACTCGAGCACATAGTCTAATGCCAGACTCCCTGATGTCTGCCATGGTACCAGAATCACTCGTGTGCACAGTGTTGCTGTGTTTGTTGAGCCACTGGAACCTTGAGCCATGTTGGGTGTTTGATGGCACAAGGTTTTTCTGTCCCTGCCTCCAAGGATGAGTCTCTTACTCATTCCTTTCCTTTCTACACCAGTGACTATTGATTCATTGAGCCCAACCTCCCAGTTTCTGCATTTCTGGCAGCCTTGTGTTCACTTCTCTGCAACACAGGATGAGGTGAAACCCATGCTACGAACACAGATCCCTTTGCATTTACACTTTGCTGCCTGGTCGATCTCTGGAGGTTTTGTGCAGAATCTCACTGTGGAAGTCTGGAACCACTGTGATACTAGAAGAAGTTTGTATATGGTGCAAGGAATCACAGCTGCTCTTTTGTTCTCTTGAGAATTTTTGTGTTGAATAAAAGTATTCCCTTGACTGGCACAATGGTTACCAATAGCAGAATGTCCTGGAGTCTCTTGAGTTTTAGTGGTAGATCTATGTGGACCTTCCTGTCTGGTGAGGTCCTCAGAGAAGACTGAAGTCATTTAGGCTAAAACCAAACTGTTAGAAACCAGGTATTATTTGAGTAAAATGTAAACAATCTTTGTACAATATGGAAGTTCAAGGCAGTTGCATAAGAGAAAACCAATATGTTTCTGCAGTATTCAGCTTGTGTTCTTGGTGTGTTTACAGTATTGCCCTCAGGCAGCAAAATTACCTCATGTTGTAGAATGAAGGAAAGATGATGATCTTGGTTGCCTCTAGTCCTGAGGAAGTTTTTTCTTTCACCTTGGAGGTCAAGCTGTCTGTTTCTTTCCCTTTAATCTTTCTGTTTTACTGGGTGGGTTGCAGAGAGTTCCCAGCTCCTGGTGTGGATCTTTTGGCCTGGCATGCTGCTGTCTCCAGGGTGTCCCTCTCCCCTGGGAGGCACAGCAGCTCCCCAGGGAAGGAGCTTCATCTTCCCTCCACACAGTCCATCTGGTCTCTGGAAAGGAGCAGAGCACAAGTGTGGACTGAGCACATCAGATGCTGTTGTTCACTCTGGGGATCATAGTGTTTTGGTGGGGTTTGTTGGTGCTGTTTTGTTTGTTTTGTGTTCACTTGCTGAATGTTTTAAACGGATGAAACAAGTCGCCCAATGCTTTTTTTGCTGCCCTTGCTGCCTTACAAGTTCTACCTCAGATAAATGTAGCACTGCATGTAGAGCTGGAATTACTGTTTTATATACACACACATAAATACACATAACTAGGCATCTTAGAGATGTTAATATGTATTATAGTCTAATGTTTGGATTAGAAAGAATAGTGTTTGTTATAAATAATTAGAGCAGTTTTTCATTCTATCCTTATGTGGCAAAGCAAACAGGTGGGTAGTGACCAAATGGTGAGCTAGCTGTGGAGGGGAAGGAAGCTAATGTTTTTTGTTTGTTTGTTTGTGAAGAAAGCCTGTTGTGCCACAGAGGCCTTTGCCTTTCAGAGGGGCTAAACTGTTCTGTGACTCTGGAGAAGCAGTGTTAGAGTTCGTTGTTCATCTTGGCACTGTTGAGCCAATGGCCACTCCTGTTCTGACAGTGCTTCTCGCTGGGTACTTTAATCACCATGTCTTCACTGGCCTGGGAGCTGTGGAGGTTTCCTCCTGGAGAGTGCTGGGCTTGCATGTGTTTTTGTAAGGCATTTCACTACTGATTCTGGCTGAGAAACAACATTGCTCAACACGGAGTTTCCTGCATCGGGAGTTGCATAATTGTGTTCTTGGAGTTGCTACAGGGAAGAGCTGTGGAGAGCAATGCTGGCAAGGCTCTTTGATACAGAGCTAGTGAAGAAAGAGCAAGTGAACCTCTAGTTGTCATGGCTGTTTCCTGTGTTGACATAAGCTGTTTGCAAGACGACTCTCGCTGAGTTTCGTTCCTTCTCCTCTGGGAGAGCAGCTGCCTTCAGCGATCGTGTGGTGTCTGGCCAACATCTGATGCCTTCGTGTTTGGACAAATGCTCAAATTTCCTCTGAATCACAAATTCTTCTTTGTTGATGTAAAATTGCTAGGAGGCTTTTCATAGGACTGGGATAAATGTCTGGACCAATTGCTAAAAATGCCATCCCTCCTTGCTCTGTTTGTGGCAATCAAATGCACATGACATACAGAGCCAGATTGTTCCCTCCATTCTGCTCTCCAGAACTGAAATGCTTTTAAGAGCAGCTTCAAAATTAATTTTATGATATAAACCACAAATAATAGCAAACAGTTACTCTTGGTTAGAAACACAATGAAAGGCCAAGTTTGACTTACTGAATATCTGCAATGTCACTGTCTGAAATTTCCTGCCACTGTACCACCTGCAGGAGCCTCTAACAATCCTGTGTGGCCACTGGTCCATCTCTGTTTATGGGGTCTGGCTCTGGTCTTTGGTGTTTGTGTTTCTTCGAGTCCATGTGGCCAAACCGTCGTGTGCTGAGACACTCTCAGAACTTGGCAGCTGCAGAGCGAAGAAATGCAGCTCTCAGCAGTGACAATCAGAGAAGGGTTTCTGGGACTGTGTCTTAAAATAGCACTGCCTTATGCTCATTTCTGTGTGAGAACACCTGTGAATGTTTTAGTTCCTGGTTTGCTTCAAAGCTTTATGATGTGTTTTTTTTAAAAGATTGTGGCCGCTATCCGAAAACTCTGTGTGAATTCGTAAAACTGCCTGCAAAGTGTTTGATGTTCTTCATGGTTTGTGCTGAGCTAAGCTGCTTTTACCTGCAGTGTTGGGTCACTGAGGCTGTGTGAGGACTCTCCTCATTCCTCTCACCTCGAAAATCCAGGGAAATAATTCCCTTTCATCTGGCTATAAAGACTTACCTACTGCCTTTCCTCTGTAATGATCACTGTAGCCAGTAATGCAGAAATAATGGGTGAACAACACTGGTTTTTTCTGTAGAAATAGGAAGAATTACTTAAGAGATGAGAGAGAAAATGTTTGGGGATTTTTTGTTGTTTGGATTTTCTTAGTCTTTTAATTGGACTTTTGGTCTTTTAATTTTTTAATTGAAGCGTTGGAAGGTCGTTTACAACGTGACTGTGTGGTCACCTGGGGCTGCTGGGTGGTGTGTCCAACAGGGAACTTCTCTTGCCTTTGATTTGCTTTAGCACGTCCCAGAAACAAATGTTTTGTGCCAGGCCCAAGAGGTTTTTTTGACTCATCTTGTGTTTGATAATATAATGGCTCATGGGTATGGAAGGTATCTTGGGTGAGGGACACAGTCAGACTTTCTTGGCTGCACTTTGAATTGTGGCACAGGGAAACTTTGTGCAACTACAATTGAAATATCTCTTCAATTTGCTGTTGATTTCCTGCAGTTCTCCAGTTTAGTCATGCCAAGATGGTTTCCCATGTTTTGCTTTGAATTGTGGCCCAGGGGAACTTTGTGCAACTACAATTGAAATATCTCTTCATTTTGCTGTTGATTTCCTGCAGTTCTCCAGTTTAGTCATGCCAAGATGGTTTCCCATGTTTTAACGACTGTTTTCCGCTGTTGCTTGTAGGTCAATAATGACTGACTTGTACTACCTCGGTCAAACGGACGGAGCGGGAGATTGGCGGGAAAAAGAGGCCAAAGATCTGACAGACTTGGTGCAGAGGAGAATAACTTATTTACAGGTAAGAGGACAGAGCTTTTGGATCAAAGGAAATGTTTTTTTCCTGTATATATATAGCACATGGGTAGCTACCTGAGAGTTTTGAGTCAGTGTTGGAATCTGAATAAATTGCATACAAAATAAATTATAGCATTTGTTTCAAGCTGTGTTTTCGATGTACATGGAATAGAGTATTTCAAGGAAATATTTGGGGTTTGGATGTTTGCATTTGGTTATTTTGGTTTGTTTGTTTGTTTGTGGAGGGTTTTGTTTATTGGATTTGTGGTTTTCACAGGGCTGAACTTAGCCATTTGAATCCTTTGCTTTATTACAGAAGATGAATATCTGGTTGATTTTTTTAAAAAAATCTTTAAGTATCAGAATGCCAAAATAGGTTTGCACAGTGTTCAGAATAAAAGTCTGATAGTTCTTCTGCAAAACTTCTGAACAAGCAGCCCCTTCCTCAGAATCTGGGTTTGCAAACTGAAGTGCTTATATTGGCATATTGCCTAGTCCTTGGCTGCTTCCACAGGTGTGTGAGACTTTTCAAACGTGCTCATACCTGGGAGTGCCAAATGCCTTTTCATCTGTGTCCTTGTGCGTGTCTAGAAACTTTGGGTCAAACTTGACCTGAAGGTTTTGGGAGTTTTTTCGTGTCGGAGTGCGTGCAGGTCGTTCTGGGGAGATCAGAAGTGTTTACTGTTTGTGTTTGATTAGCATGTTGTTTGTTTTTGTGGCTGTGTGTGCCTGTTCCGTATGGTCACCCCTAGTGCCTGACCTCCCTCCTGTGTGAGGAGCTGAGTTTGGTCCTCTGGCTGTCATTTGTTTCCAGTTCAGCTGTTGGAACCTTCTCCTCTGTGACCAAACTATGAATTTGTTGCTTGCTAAATAGCAAAGACACCATCCTGAGGAAAAACAGCCCCGTGGATTCCGCAGGAGTCATCACATCATGATATTCCTTCAGCTCCTGCCTCAGAGCTGTTTCTCATTCCTTCATTTCTGCTGTCACTCTTTGGCAATGGTGTCACTATAACTACTTTTCATGCTGATAAACGTAGCCTTTCTCTACCTTTTCCTCTTCTTTCACCATACCCATTTGTTGTCTTACTGAAGCACGTGCATGTTTCTCAAGAGTGATTGTCTTCCCACTGGATGTTTTTAAATGCTCAGGATACAGTTCAGAGTTAGGACCTTCAGGTATATACAATGAGTAACAAAAGTCAAAGGAGTTTAGACTATCGAGAGCCCAAATTTGAAGTGTTAAACAAACATGTACATTGTTTTCTGGTGAAGCTGTAGAAAGTGTTCTGACTGATGAAGAGCTGGAAGCCCAGTTAGCTCCTCCTGAATTGTAACATGTAATATGTAACACAGTCCATGGTTTGAAACCCCAGACACACCTGTGTTAGTAATAGAGCTTATTAAAAGTGAAGCAAAATAAGGCATTGAGCAGCCCTGGCCTCTCAGCTCAGTGCCAAACCCAGCTCTGTGGGACACAAGTGTGATTTATGTTTTGGTACAGTATGGAGGAGCTGCATAACTTCTCTCTGGTACGTGTCAGGGACTGACAGCTGCATTATTTCGGGACCTCTCCCTGGGAAGTCATTTGGCTGAGTGACTGTGAGTAGTGATGACTGCTGCCTCATTTGGATGGCATTACCATAAATTTGATTTAATGAGGCTACGTGGAACTCATTCCCTGCAGTTAGAGCAATGTTAAAGAGCTAGTAGCATCCATTTGAGCATAAGACCTTGTTTTCAGAGATGTTTATTATCAGGCAACTGCACCAGAGGTTCTTGCAAAAGAACCTGCAAAAGAAGTCAGCAAGGGCACCTGTAGTACTGGGATTGAGTAAGTGATTCTGCAGGCAGCACTTGTCTGCTCCTTTCCTTTTGTGCTTATGCTTGTTCTGTTTATTTTAGGCAGTTTGTGACTCAGCATGAAATCTCCCAAAGGCAGAATATTTTTGCCTCCAACTTCATGAAAATAATCAAACCTTTTTGTTCAGCTTTAAAGGTTAAAAATACAAACAGGTGAGGAAGGTTGCTAAGTACTCAACAGGACATCAGTTACACTAGTCATGGTTTGCTGTATTCAGCCCGTTGAGTTGGGGGTTTGTTTGTATGCAAAGAAAGGAAAGTTGCTTACAAGACTTTTTTTCTGAGGTTTCTGAATTTCCCAGAATTTTTGTGAATTAACATGTCATTTAGATTTCTGTGTCTTTAAGTGTATTAAATCCTCTCATTTTCCCTCACCTTAAAATTACTGATATATATTTTTAAAGGCTGAAATGCCAAGAACAATGAAAACCACTCTAGGCACTTTGCAGAGGTGCAAAGACCTGCACCTCTGACAGCTGTGAGTCCTGAGAAGTGTGTCCTGTAATCAGTCAGATCTCCTGGCTGAGCTGTTTAACCAGTTGTTCCCCTTGGTTGATACGAGCAGGCTGCAGGATGTTGTGGCAGGTCTAGTTGCTCTTGGTGTCGATATGCCCAAATTAATTTAGCCAAAATTCTGATAGAGGATTCTCCACCAACATTTCTCTCCTGGGGAGGGAGGACACCGGCGGCGCCGGTCGGCACTGCGGTGAGGAGAGATGGTTTCTCCCGTGGGCAGAGCACGCCGTGGTTCGGTTTGCCTGGGACAGACTCAGCATCCTTATGGTTATTTGAAAGCTTTCTGACATCTGTTCCAGACACACAGAGTCCTGTGCTTCACTTTGATACTGCTAGCTCAGCTGGATTTTGCAGCTCTTCTCCCATTTTTGCTAGGTTGCTGAATTGATTGCGTAACTCTGAGAGAGTGATTTGATTCTTTCCCTGTGAGACTGGGAAAGAAAACTTACAAATAAATCTAAGTATCCTAAAAGTTAATATTTTGGCCAGAACAGATTTAAAAGTGAAACTAAAGAGTTAGAGACACCCAATTTTTTTCTGGGTTTTTGTGAATGTTTAGAAAGGCACTGAATAGTTTCTGTCACATGAAATGTAAAAACTATTTGTTTTTTGAATGTCTTGAAACATGTCTCGTGTTTCCTTCACTCGGTTACTTAGTGAACTCAGTGTCTGAAACTATGGCTAAGAGCCACTTCAGGAAGTGTGGTCACTGCTGATGTCTGACCTTTCCTCTGGAATTTGTGGTGGATTGCGGAGCATCGCGTGGCTGTGCATTGCACGTGGGGACATTGGCTCAGGCTGAAGCCTCTGTGTTGTGGGAGTGTGTTTGTAAACCAGAGGAGTTAACAGTAGAGACAGATAAGAATCTCTGTCTCTCAATCAAACGCATAATATTTCTGACAAGGGAACGAACAGCGTGTTCTGCCAGCAGCTGGAAAAAACTTCAGGTGTTTTGTTTCCTTGTTTTTTTGTTTGTTTGTTTGGATTTTTCTGCCTCCAAGCAGAGGGGAGCTGGTATGAAAAGAAGCCAGTACAGGTGTCATGACAGAAAGTGGAATAGAAGATGGTGTGAGTTACATTTGTGATAAGCAGGGTGAGAAACATCTGTTCTTGGCATCATTCTCAGCAGAAAGGGAGTTTCCCAGATCTCGGGTAGGACTGTCTCCTCCAGCAGACTGTGCTCCATCCAGGAGTGAAATATTTATTGAAAACAAGTTTTTTTGTTTTGAGTTTTTTTCTGGGTTTTCTTTTGGTTTGGTGGTTTTTTTTTTCCCCAGATCTGAAGCTTTCTCCTCTCCTTTACACGGCTGAATGCAGAAATTAATTGTTTTGAAGTATTTAAGACTTGGAACAATTAGATTATCTTTAAAATCACTTGAAGGAAGCATCTCAGTTCCCCAGAGATACGGCACTGGTTTCTGGAAAGACTTGGTTTGCTTTGTTGCAAATTTACAATTGTTTCAATGGACTTTTAAGCATCACATTCATATAATATAGACTTTGTTATGGTTTCTATGTTTGTGGAAGTGTAGACTCTTTCATGGGGAGTGCCTGCAGACCAAAGTGCTGTCATTGTTCAGTCTCCTCCGTGTTTCCCGTTCTGTGTTTGTTATGTGGTCAGTTGGGCTGGGGAGTAATCCATTAATGAGCATTTATTTTATTCTGTGCCATGTAGACAAGTGAAAGTTTTCTTTCATTGGATAACTTGCAAGCTTCTTGCAAGACAACTAACAAACTTGGCAGAAAGGCAAAGGAAAAAGCCTCCCAGCACTGAGAACCGTGCTGATGAAACCTGAACTCCGAGTCCAGATATTTGCTCACCCTGACAGATTTATGAATGAGAAGGAATTCAGATCTCGAAGTTACTTTATTTTATATTAGAGTAGTGAAGCATGTTCAATATCTGGAATCCACACAAAACTTTGGTGGAGCTGAGGCTGGCTCACGCGTTGGGCTGCGAGGTGCAGTGTGACAGGATGGCTCTGTGACCCGTGGGCTGTCAGCTCCCCGGGGACGTGAGTGCCTGGTGTGTATCTTCTCTCAGCATCACCTGTCCCTCCTGCTTACAGAACCCCAAGGACTGCAGCAAGGCTAAGAAGCTCGTGTGCAATATCAACAAAGGCTGTGGCTATGGCTGCCAACTTCATCACGTAGTCTACTGCTTCATGATCGCGTACGGCACGCAGCGCACGCTGGTCCTGGAGTCGCAGAACTGGCGCTACGCCACGGGCGGCTGGGAGACCGTCTTCAGGCCCGTGAGCGAGACCTGCACCGACCGCTCCGGGGCCACCACTGGCCACTGGTCAGGTAAGGCTCATGACTCTGGGAGTTCTCCTGGGGCTTTGCAGGTTCGTTTACACGGAATTATTGCGTTGTCTCTTTCATTAATGTTACGTGGAGCGTAACAACTGTGACTGCAGCTGTGTATGGAAGCATCTTCTGCATCTTATTTGTGTGTTGGATTGAAAAAAAGCCATTTTCCTTATCAAGGTATCTCTGGTTTCGTAGAGTTTGTTAAATACAAAATTTTCTGTATTTCAGGTTTAAATTGTAATCCTTCCAGCAGTCTGCCCCTGTGCTGTGTGCCAGGTATCAATCCCATTTTTGTGGGAAGAGGCTGTCGTTAATAAACTTAAACAAATAACACTGTGTTTCAAATGTCCAGCAAAAAAAATTCAACGAAAATGGTATTCCATAGTCACTCACACCCCAGCAAAGTAATGGAGCAGTTGAAATAATTCTTAGCGCAGACTGAACAAACCCAAGATTCAGGCTGTAAAAACAATGTCAGTATTAAGTATCTGTTTTATTTGTAGGTCAGGAAGTTGATCCATTCTTATATCAGGCTGAACAGTTTTCCTGGAATAAGCAGATGGGCATTCATGTTTGGGGGATCAGATAGCTTTCCTTGTTTGTCTCAGGGTAAACAGCATTTGTGTTAATCTTGCATCTTTCTCTGTGTGATTGATGGTCAAAACATCAAGGCCTTCAGTCTTTTCTCTAGGACAGTGCACACCCAGTGCTTGTGGAGTCTTAAAGAACGTGACTGTTACGGTTTTACAGATCTGAAATGAACATAGGGTTACCCAATGCCATTTACAGATTGGTGTGTCAACTTCCTTGTGTGTTCACACATGGAAAGGACATTTGCACATTGAAGTAACATCTGTTCTTCAAAGCTTCAAGGTGCTGGAAAACCTGGCTCGGAGAATTCTCGTGGGCTTTTCAAAAAAATGGTTCTTAGAAATGAGCTGAATGTTTCATAAAAAGAGCTGAAAACGAAAAACTGACCTGGAGAACTTCAGATAGACTTTTGTTCATGTTTGGCAAAGTTCGGAGGTGAAGTGACCCCCTGGGTGTGGTTCTCAGCCCCACAGTTTCCCTGCAGTTTTGTTGGCAGCTGTTCTAGCACAGTGTGCTGGAGACCAGTGCCCTGCAGCACCTCTGCACATGTGACTTCAAAAGACTTTGTTGGTTTGTTTGTTTTCAGTTAGTTTCTAGATCAGGATGAATAATTTGCAGGTTGAACTCATGAAATATCTTGGTGTGATCAATTTAGGTTGCACTCATGAAATATCTTGGTGTGATCAATTTTCTTTAAAAGTAATGAATGCCACTCATTTGAGCCTTGCTGCTCGAGAGCTAAGAGACATTCACTCTGACAGACTAGGCACACACACTTCAAACTGTGTCCAGTTCTACTCTGCCGTGGCATGATCACTGAGGAGGAATAACACTGGCAATAAATCTCTTTTCCTAGCTATAATGTGGTTCAGTAGGATCTTCACTGGACACTTAATTGCCAGTGAATCTGAAAGACATTCTGTCTTGCTGCAGATTTCTGTGTGCTTAATGTCTCTCTAAATCTACATAGATTTTTATTTACTTGTGTATTTGCTTATTCATTCCCTGTATCCTTGTAGGGCTAAATGAGTCTGAATTTCTTCACTCCGATTAGAAACAGTTTGTCTGCAAAACCACCTCTCATTTTATTTCCTTTTTTGTCTGCACTTTCTCCAGTTGGCATGGGCTGGTTCAGATCTTTGCAATAAACATGTCAAACTGCACTGACATCTGTGCCCTACCTGCTGTGCTTACTCTGCTGTGTGTGTAGATTTTCAGAGAAAAATGGTGATATGTTTCAAAAATATTCACACAAGTGAAAAATTGTAACAAGATTTCAATGTGAATTACAGAAATAGGCTAAAAAGGCAGAAAATTATCTAGTTTCACAACTTGTTCTCATGGAATTTGTAGAGCTTCATCGGTAATAATTTAGTGAATTGGCTTTGCGGCAAAATTGTTTGGATCTCTACATGTATCTTCTGTTTAATGAAATTCCTCTGCTTGGGGCTTTTATTTTGATTGTATTAGCAACACGAAATGGTGAAGTTTCTGCTCTATCTTCAGTGAAACAGTTTAGGCATTAATATCTTCCACAAGGAATTAAGAGGCTTATGAAAGCTGAGAACACATGTATTTGGGGCTTGGTTTGTCCAGTCCTGTCCTAGTCAGGCAAAAAGCTGAGGTTTTTTTTTAACTTGGGACTGAGGGTGACTGTTAATAAAACAGAGATTAGTAAGGCACTTTCTCAGCTGTGCAGGGACTCAGAGCTGAGCTCAGCCCATGTCATACCTGCAGCGATTGCTGTTCGTGTTTGTCGTGGCATTTTTGCAATCGAGTTCAGTTTTTCTAGCTTAAACATATTGAAAGATTGAGAATTTTATTGCAGGTTTCTCTAAATACAGCAGTTCTTTTACACTGTGCACAGTTTTTCCTTTTCCTCTGTTTCACTTGTGCTGTCATTCTGGAGAAGAGAATCTTACCAAGAGATGGTTATATGCATGCTCTTTTTAATTTTGAATTTCTGTCTTGCTGCAACTGCATCTTGGTTGTTCATCCCTCCTTTGGTGTCTGTGGTCGAGCAGGTTGTGAATAATTTAGGTAAGGATTTTTATAAGCATGAACCATTTCCTGGTAAGAGCCAAAACATAGAGAACTTGTGAGGACGTTCTTACCTTGCCATTTTTGATGAATTTTCCTTGAAGCAATTAGTCAGCCAGGTAACAATGTTCTGTTATCAGTGCAACATCTAGAACAGGATTGGCCTCTTGTCATTTCCTTGCTGATTGATGATGCTACAGTGACATTCACTAATGACACCATTGAAAGAGGAATACAAAATAACCACATTAAAAAAATTGACCCAAACAGTAAGTGGGAAAAGAAAGCAGATTAAGAGAAAAGAAAGATGATTGTGTGGTCAGAGGTCATACCTGCATTTTGTGCTGGAGAGGAAGAGATGTGGAGGTGAAGAATCATGTTTTAAATGTGTTTGCTCCTTCCCATAAGGCTAACAAACCAGTGAGATGAAAGATAATTTGAAAAGGGAGACCTGAACCACAGTTTGCTGCAGTTACCCTTGAACATTGATTTTGCTGCCTCTAGCCATGGCTTGATGAGTTAATGCTTTTGAGGAAGGGATACCCAGAGGGAGGAGATGGCAGAGCTCTTCACTTGCTGCTGCAGCTTGTGAGTATTAATTGCACTACAATCCTGAAATGTGAATTAACTAATATGTTTGTATGTATAATTCAAGAAGGAGGATACTGTGGGTATACAGGATGAATTTTTAATTTGCTGAAGCCTATCAGGCAACAGTAATCAAAAGGACCAAATAAAAATTGCAAAACCAAACCATAAAAAGTTCTGCAGACTTAATTGCAGTGAGTGAAGAAGTTCCATTCCATGAGCTAGATGTTCCTTGGCAGCAGCTTTTCTTTTACATAAATCAGATGAATATTTAGCATTGGCCTAAAAACCCCTCAGACTTGCATACAGTTGTATAATTATATTTTGCTCCAATGTCTCTTCTTGATAAAATGTTGCAGAAAAAATGGATCAGTTTCTATTTCTAATTCATAAAATCATTTTCATCCCCTGTTGTTGATGTTGTAGCTCGAGCAGATTCCCTTTGTGAGAGCCATTCTGGGGAGTGGGGGCTGGAGGCAGCAGAGAGGAGCATCTGTGCGTGTTTCCCCTCCGATTCAGCTGGGCTCTGTGGAGATCAGCCTGCTGACATCATGCAGATCCTTCTGGCCCGAGCTGCTCTGCAAGATGTTCTATATAAAGACATGGGTGGGTGTAAACATGTAAATGTATTTAGGAAGTGGTGAGTCCTAAGGGGACGCAGAGGTGTGACGAGGTGGGCTGAGTGCAGAGCAGTGCCGCGGCCTGGGCGAGCGCAGGGTGACCCCAGTGGGGTCCCAGTGGAGGGTGCTTGGTGCTGCCCAGCAGCTGTTGGGGCCCTGCAGAGCTGTGACCAGCTGCAGGACATTGCCTGGCTCTGCTCTCTGCCTTCACAGCGGGTGCCGATGCCTAAGAAAGGATTCTCAGGAAGATCTACACAGACCCAAGGGCACAAAAATCTTTGCAGTGGGAGATTAAAGAGCATGATGCTGTTTTAAAATGAAGCAAGTTTTAACAGCTGGTCCTGCTACATCTTACAAGCATTTCTGTATGGGAAATATTGCTACTTTTGGACAGAGATTTGGCTGGACAATTGTGGCTGGAAATGAGGTCTGTTTGTTAACAGAAGTATTGTCTGACTACTGTAGTGATTTACTCGGGATCTGGTAGTTTCTCCATCTGCAATTCTTCATCAAATTATATATGTTCTGCAGAACTGTGGATTATCTCCCTGTCCATCTTTTAATATTTCCTCTGTGTGGCACGAAGGTCACTGGTTTTGGTGACCCAGGTGAAGCTGCAGTCTGGGACATAGTGAACAGGCTTGGGTGAGGAAGGCTGAGTAGAGACATGGTAGCTGTTTCTCATGACTAGCTTTATTTCCTTTGGCTTTTTTACATAGAAGAATGTTTGCCTTTGGTCTTTCAGTGGATCTGGGCTTCTTTTGTTTGCTTGTACCAGTACTTTTGTAATGCCACATTATCTTCCAACTTGTGGCATGGAGTTCTCTTGTGCCATCCCAAATCTGCAATACTAAACAAAATTAATGTGTTCTAATAAGTTCTTCCTAAAATACATCTGCGTGCTCTTCCACGCTGTGGTCAGTCAGGCTGACCAAATGACCAAATGTCATCTTTTAAGGGCAACTTGAAAAAATGCTTCTAAATTAGCTGATGAACTTGGAATAGGAGAATGAATGATGAGTTTTCAGTTAACATTAACTAGCACTAGTGATTGTGTGGTAAAATATCAGCCTCATTTTGAGTAAGAAAGCCAACAAAAAAAGCAGGTCTGTGCCAATGCTCAGGTGGCAGGAAGCAGAGTTGGCTAAAATGACAAAATTCCAAAGGTCTTTTTGAGCCAAACCAACATTTTTCAGGCTTCATAATAGTTGGTATGAAAGGTACAAATAGCAAAAGTTTCTAAGCATGCTTTAAATTTGGAGGTCAAAGATTAAATTTGGGACGTAGACAGGCAGGAAGGTCATGGCAAATCACAGAACATTGTGGAATCCCTGAGGGCTCTAAAGTAGTCCAGGCACATTAGGATAGTGCAGAGAAGCAAACTTTTGCTTTTCATAACACTCAGAGCTCATTTCAGCGTTTAAAAAGTAATCAATGGGATTCCTGGCAATAGAAACTGTTCCTGATCTATTGGTGATGAACATACCCCCAGAGTGGTAGTCAAGAAGAACTGGATGGTACAACTGACACAACTCATCTGCATAAAACTCAGTTTCTGTACCGTCCGTGGTCTTCCCCCGGAGCACGTTGTGGTAAGTGTGTGAGCACTGCAGCACTTCATTGCAAAAATGCTCAATCTTTTGGGTACTCAGTGAAGCAAAAATGGAGTTGCAGAATCTTGAGGACAATTATTTAGGTCAATCCAAACTGAAAAACAGCACCTGGAATTGTATGAAAGTTAAACAAGCTATAAATGGGATTATAGTGGCAAATTTTGGCAACTGTAAAAGAAAAATAAATCGTATTAGAAGAAGTAACTTGAAGTATTTCTGACATGTAAATGATGTGTAACAGTTGTAGAGGATCTTCCAACCAAAATAGTTCTATGATTCTGTGACCAAATGTCAGAGTTGGACCAACACTGAGCAGGGACTTGGACCTGACTGACATGATGATGCTGAGATTAGAACTGCTAACATGAGAAAAAGCTATAGCATTAGTGTGGATTGTTACCTTTCATGGCTTATCTATTACTTAACAAAATACAGCTGGGAAGTAGAAAAACTCAAATATTTTACAAAGTAGAGAATGTGTAACTAAACTCTGGAGAAATGTGTGGATAAAAAGAGAGTTCTGTATTTTTAACTCACCTTTGCTGTCTTCAATTGGAACAGCTACAATTCATAGTGATCAGGAGTGTGATTTCATTGTTTTCTACTTGGCTATTGTGCTGAGTTTTTGTTATCTCCTCTGTCATTAATTTTCATGCAGCTTATTTCTGAGCAAGCTAAAACAATATCTTGCTATCCAAAGAAGGAGAACAGTTTTTTTCAACTGTACCTGCTGGAAGTGGGACAAGATTGCTGCCTGTGGGGAAGGTTCCCACCAGCACTGGGGACAGGGATCAGTGGATAGAGAAGCTGTTGCTTGCCTGTAGGACTGTGCAGGGTTGTTTGCTCTTTCAGGGTTACTAAAGACTTATTCTTCACTGGTTTTGTCCAGGACAAACACAAACAGCTGATGTAAGTTTTCCCTTAACTGGGTCTGCTATCCCATACTTTATGTGAGTGAAGGAAGTTTTTTCTTTATCATTCAGAATGAAAATAAAGGTAATATAAACTAGAGAGTTGTCACAGAGTTTTCCAGATTTGTACACATATCATAGAGTCATAGAATTTGAGGGGTTGGAATGGACTTAGAGATCACCCAGCCCCAACCCCTGCCCTGGGCAGGGACACCTCCCAGCAGAGCAGGTTGCTCAAGGCTCATCCAACCTGTGAACACTGCCAGGGTTGGGGCAGCCACAGCCTCCCTGGGCATGTGCTGATGATGCAGAGAGTAATTTCATGCAAACCATTAACAAAATAGAGCATTGTGGGAAAGAGCCGTGGCCGTATTTGTCAGTTAATTTTTCATTCTTTTTAAGAGAAGATAATGATATGCATTGTTTGAACACAACACTGTGTGTTACAGATATTTTGTCAGCAGTTAGTAGCTGTTGGCAGTCCATTTCAAGATGCTAATGATAATATCACACATTCCTTGATCTGTACCTGTGAATGTTTCATTTTATGACTTTCCCCTGTTACCCATACTTGCAGTAATAGTGCCCTGGTTGGGTTTCGTACTGTGTACTTTTATGAACTCCTAATCTTTGTGAAATGACCATCTGATATTTTCAGTTCCTTCTCAAAAAGCAGTTTTGCGAATCCCAAACGCTGGTTAACAGTTGACCTAGGAGTTAATTTTGATCAATGAAATTGTTTCTTTTTGCTTCATGGAACACATTTTGCTTCTGATTTTGAGCTGCAGAAAGTATTTCAACGTCATTTCTATTCAAACAATGCGTCACATACAGTTGAAAGATGAAATCTGATTATTTTTCCACAATCTTCTTTGGTATTCTTGTGATTTGGGTATGTTTTAATATAGAGTGCTATATATGATGAGAGCTTTCCTAGTTATTGATGGTCCATCTCATTTTCTTCCAAACCTTAGGACAGCCTATGCCAGTTTTTAGAGGCTCACTCTTACCCTTAGGGTGGATCAGTGGATTTGGTGTTTTCCAGGGGCAGGAAGGCAAATAGAGGGTCAGATTGCTCAATCAGCATTGTCAGTATCAAGGTTGTCCAAATGACTCTTTACATATAAATGTATTTTCAGTGGCAGAATGAAGTTTGAAAGCTTGTCAGTGATACTGTCCTTAACAAAAATCCACCTTTTTATGTGCCCCTTTGCATCTCTGCTTTGTCTCCTCAGAAGGTTTGCAGTGAATTTCCTGCTCTAACTTCAGACTGGACTTTTCTGTCTTCTTTTGGCTAAGATGATTATTGCTCCGTTTGCCTCCCTGTGCCCTCCCCTGCTCTCAGCAGAGGAGGAAAGGGTAAACCCATGGAACCTCCAAGGATCCTTTCATGCCTTCCCCAGCTAAACATTGTTGTCTAGACTTGCTCCAGATCTGGCACTGCCATGGCTTCACACTGCTGTTCTTCACTGCAGCTTTCTGGAGTCACTGATAGGATATTAGCCATTATATTATAAGAAGACTTAAGTGCTCAGTATTTTTTCTAGATGTATGAACTTGTATTAAATCTTTTTCTGTCAATGTGGTATAATAGATGGTAAAAATCTGAATTGGCTTCTTGAATTAAAAAGAATCATCCACACTTGTAGTACATATTCTCTGGGGAATTCTTCTAGAAACTCCCTTCTCAGTGATGCTGCAGTGCAGGGAGAAGTGTTGGCGTATGGATACGACTCGGAAGGCAGTTTTCCAAAGCTAATGAAAATGAATTGAAAGTGTACCTGAGCATAACAAACGTTCCTTGTTTAAATAGCCATCTCTCTGATGGTGGCTGATGTATTTTGACCAGTCCTGGTAGGTTCACTGTTGTTAGTGTGTGACTTAATCATGCAATTATCATGCCCAAGTATTCTGGAATGATTTTCAGTGCATGCAAAGGGGCTCTAACCTTTGGGGTTTTCAGCTGTTCTTAAAACACAACTCCTTATTCCTGCTCTGAATGGATTTTTTTTTCAGCCGTAAGGTTTACTTGATCCTCAGCAGTTATATGAGTTTGATTTGCTTATATTTAAAGCAATTTTCTCTCCTGGCTGGTGAGTACTAAAGGGAGAACTAACCATATTTGCCTGTAAACACTGCAGACAATGCAAACCTTATTTTGGAGGAAGTGAGCACAGTAGAAATACCCTGAAATGGTCGATACCTCAAGAAATGTAATGCTTTGCTTTCTGTGTCATGTACTGTAATTTATTTCAGTGCATGGACATAGCTGTGGATTATCAGTTATGTGTGACTTGTGTTCGTGTGGTTTGTAAAGCTCTTCAAACACGTTCAGTGGCTATTAACCCTTGCATGAAGGTCCCATTTCAGCTCCCTGTAGCTTCCACTGTGGTTAGTATTTAAAGGATAACAAATTGTAACCCCTATGTGCATCATACAGTGCCTGTGTTTTTCTTGTTCTGTTTAATTTGCCACTTATCTTCGTAGTTTAAGTTCTTGACAGGAATTGTCCTTCTCCTCTTCTGTCAACAGAGTAGCTAGTTCAGTGGTTGTGATGATGCCTGAAGTGCTGAGATTTGCTGCCATAAAATGGATTCCCAAGGCAGCAGAGCCACAGTTACATTTTAACAATCCCCTATGCCTTAAAATATTTCTTCCTTTAATTTTTAAACAAGTGACTGAATTTCACATGTTTGAGGTAGCTAGACTGTCCACATGAGCCTTAGCACTCAGGTGTGGTGTGGTTGTGTATAAAAAAAGTATCAGTATATACACAGGAACACACTTTATATTTTACTGACTACCAACTGCTAAGAATTCAAGGACTTCCAATGTTTTCTACTTGAGTGCATTGTTAGACACAGTTTGTGTATAAACCTAGTCTAAAACGATGATTTTGATGAGATTTTTTTAATGGTAGTTTGAAAAAGTGGAACAGGGGTTAGGTATCTTTTTGGAGATACAGATTAGCTGATGTATTTGGGATCTTATTTGCCAATGGGAAAGTTTATTAATAAAGTAAACTACTTGCCTGATCCTAGTCTGTATTTGAAACAGGTGAGGCTAACGATAAAGACGTTCAGGTGGTGGAACTGCCCATTGTCGACAGCTTCCGTACCTACCCCTGGCCGTCCCCGAGGACTTGGCCGACAGACTCATTCGCGTGCACGGGGACCCTGCAGTGTGGTGGGTCTCACAGTTTGTGAAATACTTGATTCGCCCACAGCCTTGGCTAGAAAAGGAAATAGAGGAAGCCACAAGGAAACTTGGTTTCAAGCATCCAGTGATTGGGTGGGTATTGAGTTTTCTTTTTGTCTGTCTGTGCTTTAGTACATGTGTATGGTGATTCTGGTCAGGACATTGTTTTAATGATGCTTATCCAAGAGCCTCAAGTGTTCTGTGGGGGGAGAGGCTGATTGTTAGATGAAGCTATTACTTTTTATCTGTGCATAATACAAGTTGCTTACAAGTGCTCCTTCAGCACACTTGCCTACCTGTGGTTGGACAGATACAGAAGAGGCAGCTCAGGGGAAGGTTTTTTTAACTTCTCCTTCCACATCTAGTAGTGTGATGCAGAATTTTATTAATGTAATTGCCTTATGACTTGTATTCCAGACACTTTTCTGTCTGGGTCTTCTTTTCAAGTGCCTATAGCTTTTATACTCTAGAAGAAAAGTCTAAACCTACATTTTTACATGCCACAATCCACAACCAGTTTTACCACTGGCTACATCTGAATGTGGTATGTGACTTCCCCTTTCCTGC